GTGTTCTCATTCACATTCAGGTCACAGGTGGTAATGGAATGCTCACCAACTTCATTTGAAACAAACACCATGGCAGAATCTTCCTCACTGTTATTCAAGAAAAACAACAAGATATTCATTTATGTAAAAACTTGTCATGATTTGTATACAGCAGTGGTGTTATTTTTAGCCTCTAAATTAAACACTTACGGTGCTCCTTTTGAAGAGTATGGGCAATAAAGACCAATGTTACCACCAGGATAGAAAAACCAATTGTCTTCCCTGGGCCCAAAGTCAAATGTATCCAGAAGCATCACAGGGTTGTTTAAATTATTTCCATTAATAATGAAGTCATCAACAATCCAGATTTCTTCTTTCTTACCTAAGGCATTTTTGGATAAAGCACATTTTTTTCCAATGGTGAAAATCAGATGGACATTTTTGCTCATTGGAAGAAAGTAAAGGACAGAAGGAACTCAGAAACAACAGGTTAAACATATGCTTTCTTAACCAAGCAACACAAAATACATAACAGAGTATTTACAGTCATTAAAGTGTGAAAAAAATTAAGCCTGTAACCATATTAAATTGACACAGTGCAGAACAGCCTGACTAATTTCAGAAAGCTGTGACAGACAGCGTGTAAAACTGTGCTGCCCTTCCCAATCACAGAGGTACTACGGACCCTCTGCTGGAAGAATGGGCTTTGAGTTGTATTCTTAGTGGTTTAAAAGAATCTGCAAGACAGCTAGATCTGTGAGGAAGGGTGGTCAGTCTGTGGCGTTACAACAAAGGAGGTATGCTAACTAGTCCATTCAAGGATCAATTCATGACTTTTTAGGGTCAACCCATGACTTCTTAGCATCATGCTTCAGTGAACTAGGCAGAAGGGCCGTGGGCGTTACAACACTGCCCTTATGTATAATTTTATTTGATTGTTAAAAAATACACAGACGGAAAGTACCGTGTTACGTAATACTTATTTTTAAAAAAAAGTTTCAGAACTTCTATATTTATTTGAAGATATCTGGGAATATATAGAAAACCTGTGAAATCAGTCTTTAGACCGTCGAAGGATTTGATTCAGGGATTTAGGATGGAGATTAGAGGATACTGTCATAAGGTAAACCAAAACCAAACCCACTGCCATCAAGTTGATTCTGACTCATAGCGACCCTTTAGGACAGAGTAGAACTGCCTCACAGAGTTTCCAATAAGTGGTTGGTGGATTCGAACTGCCAATCTTTTGGATAGCAGCCAAACGCTATAAGGTAGATAAGGGCAAAAACTAGGCTGTTTTCACAAACCACTTTTTGG